CATCCATCCATCCATCATACATTCATCCATCCATCCATCATCCATCCATCCACCCATCATCCATCCATCCATTCATCCATCCATTCATCATCCATCCATCCATCCATCCATCCATCCATCCATCATCCCTCCATCTATCCATCATCCATTCATCCATCCATCCATCCATCATCCATCCATCCACCCATCATCCATCCATCCATTCATCCATCCATTCATCATCCAGCCATCCATCATCCAGCCATCATCCAGCCATCCATCATCCATCATCCCTCCATCTATCCATCATCCATTCATCCATCCATCCATCATCCATCCATCCACCCATCATCCATCCATCCATTCATCCATCCATTCATCATCCATCCATCCATCCATCCATCCATCCATCCATCCATCCATCCATCCATCCATCCATCCATCCATCCATCCATCCATCCATCCATCCATCCATCCATCCATCATCCATGCAACCATTCATCCAGCCATCATCTTCTGCTTGTTCAGCTTTTTCCAAGTGACCTTAGAAAACACACTATTAGATATTAGAAAAATATCTGATGTCTGAAAATATCATTTTTGTGAATGTTGAAATTGTTTGCACCTCTTTTTTTTTGTTCTATTTTCATTAAGCTGCTTCTACCAAAAGCCAAAGCATCCTATTCTCTATTGGGACATACTTTTTGCACAATGTTTTCCAAAGATGTGGGAGATACCTATCAGCTATTCTAACAGAAACAGAAGAAAAGCAGCTGAATTGGGGTTCAATATTTATGCATTGACATGCTTAGTTATTCTTATTTATTTCCACACAGTGGCCTGGTTACTTGGTCACTGGTAAAAATATCTGACCTCTTTAAACTTAACAAACTCAGACTGCAGTTTGCTCTTTCCCCCATATAAAAGCAGCCAGTGATTCCAGACAATAAACAGTTTGTTTATTTATTTACTTATTTATCAGACTGCACACCATGATTACAGAGAGCCAGCAGGATACACCACCAGGCAGTTGTGAATCCGCCTGAATGTTTGACTGAAATTTGCACAGACATCGCAGGAGACACTTTGTTTGGTCGCTACACACAAACCCAGCAAACAGCAGAGCTTTGATGTCTCACCTTTAACATTCTCTGCACGGAGGCAGAACAACGTGAAATCCAAAATGCATCTTTCTGAGTACAGGACTTGAAGTGACTAATGGTACCAATTGACTAAGTGGGTGAGACTCCATGTGAGTCACCGAGCATGTCTCTGTGTGAAAGAGACGGCGAGGAGCGTGCGTCTGGCTCGGCACTCGACCGTGTGATTAAAATGCTCGTCAAGATGGGATTTGGTTTACCTCCCCACCCGCTCTGCCTCCACATATGGATGCAGCACCCCGGCTATATGTGGCTCTCCACTTATCATGATGATGTTTTGCACTCCGAGGGTAACCATGGCACCCACTGAGGGACTCACCATGTTGCCATGGAAACTGCATCTGTTTACAAGGCAGCTTAGTGTGAAAGATGATGAAGGAGGGGGGCCATATGGACTTAAACGGGGAAATTACTAGGGCCTCTTCAGTTACATGCAGAAAGAGCTGTCTTTTCATGAAATCAGTCAGCGCCGATGTTCACTTTTTAGAACATAATGCCTCTAATTCTTCTCGACGAGGCGTCAAAGTGATGCTTTTCTATTTAAAAGTTGAACTGATAATTAGCACACCAGGTCCCCTTTAAACTGAGAATTACTGGTGATTTTATAGAGTTATTATTCAAGGAGCTGTCATTAGCCAGCCAACTGTCAGAGTGCTTTTACTGTGCCAAAATGTCCGTTTTAAATGTGTTGTTTTTACGTGAACTGACTGAATCGACCAGATTCAGGTTTGCACAAATGATTCCCTGCACATTTGTGCTCAATGCAAACAAGAATTAATGTAAGTTTCAAATTAATGCATGACTGAAATCTAAATCTCTCAAACATATCTTAATTTTCGTTACATAATAAAGTCTGAGTGTTTAGTTGCTAATATAAGATGCTAATTAACACTAAACTCTTAGCACTATATGAATTGTTAAAATTTTCAATGAGCTGCTTCTCCTGCAGCTTTGGAAAAACTCATAAAATTCATCAAAATGTGCAGTTCAGTTAGAAATAATGTGCTCTGACTTTTGGTAGTAATACAACATACGATGCAAAAATAAAAGCAAATAATGTCTATTAACCCCAAAAACAGAATGTTGGTGGTATGAGAGAGGAAAAACAGCCCGCTTTGGAGCTCTGTAACTCAGCCATGCTCCACAATAAAAAATGTTGGACTTTTATGACTGAACAGGCACGTTTAAAAGTTTTCATAGTAGTTGCACAATAGCAGCTTAAATATCATGATTTTAAAATATTACATGGCAGAATTTTTGTGAAAAATGTCATATTCTAACTTTTGAGCTGACAAAACATCAGTCTGTCCATCCATCCATCCATCCATCCATCCATCCATCCATCCATCCATCCATCCATTCATCTATCATCTTTATCCAATTTTTCCCCGTTGGGTCGTGGGGGTAAGCGGTGGCCATATCCAGCAGTCACTGTGCAAGAGGCGGGGGACACCCTGGACAGGTCTCCAGTCCATCACAGGGACACATAGAGACAAACGAGACAAACAACCATTCACTCTCTCACTCACACCTAGAGACAATTTAGAGTTACCAATCAGCCTAACATGCATGTTTTTGGTCTGTGGGAGGAAACCGGAGTACCCGGAGAAAACCCACGCATGCATGGAGAGAACATGCAAACTCCACCCAGAAAGGCCTCAGGCCGGTATTTGAACCGACAACCTTCTCGTTGAGAGGCAGCATCTTTACCAGCTGAGCCACCGTGCTGCTGAGCTCTGACTTTTTATCTTCAGAATTAAAAAGAAAAATTTTAACTCCATATTTTTTATGTAGAAGAAGAACACAAACAAACCAGATTATGATATGGTGAACCTAATGAGCTACAGCAACTCTATTATTAGTTTTTATGTACATATATTTACATATTTCTATTTTATTTATTTTATATTTTATATATTTGTATATATATTAATTATATATTTTTTTATTATTGGCTTTTCTTTACAGTTCTTTTACAGTTTATTTATCAAAACATTGACCTTTTGTCAGTTTAGATCAGGAGTCTCCAAATGTTTTTATGTGTGGGCCAAAACTGTCCAATTGGAAATTGTTGTAGATCCAACACATTCAAAGCACAGTCAAAACATTTGAACTATGGAAGGCCCAAAAGGGTAATCTAAATACTGAAAAAGCATACAGCTAGAGGTTCATAGGGGAATAATAAAATTGTTCAACTGTATGTAGATGATACCACTTTATATTTCTTTAACTTAATGTCCACGTTCCCACCATCAAATATGAAACGAACCGTGATTCTTTTTTATTTGAAAACTTTTGTTATATTTAGCCAAATTGTATCAAAGATTATCCAAAAGTCTACATTTTGGTAGACATCAGTAAATGTTTGTGAAATAGAAAAAAATAATAGGCTTATAATAGCCAAACGTTTGTATTATACCGTATTTGCCACGGTACACGTCACACCACCGTATAAGTCACAGTCCAAATATGTCTCATAAAGTTGAAAAAACATAAATTAGTCACTTCGCCATATAAGTCGCATCTATTATGTGTCACCGCTGATGTGTCGCATTTGTTATGTGTCACCGCTGACCACCCGGAAACGTGGGCCGTTGTTGTGCCGAAAATCGATTGGCTGCCAAATGGCGGCTGCGGGAGCATGCACGGGAAGACCTTAACAAAAATTTAACAAGATTAACGCTTAAAAACAATTATTTGTTTGCTCGACATTATATTAAAGGTGTGTCTCAGTTGAACTTTTCCTTAATAAATGCACTTTAACGGTCAAATCAGCTGCATTTCACCTGGGCGGCGTGGCTAAATGCAGCTGATGTGACATTTGCTCCAGGAGTTCCGGAGCAAGACGAAGGTGTCTTGTACGGCAAGCCAAGTGTCTCATTAATAGCCACTTTTATCTATTAATGAGACACTTGGCTTGCCATATTAGTCAAAGGCCCTCTAATGGCTGAAAATGGTAGTGTTCAATATTTTCCATGTCAGAATGAATGAAATCATCAGATCTCAGTCAAAAATTGGGTTATAAATATGGGGAAAAAAACGGATATTAGTCACTTTGGTGTATAAGTCGCAAGACTTGCAAATTTATGCAAAAAGGTGCGACATATATGGCAAAAAATACAGTACGTAATGTTACTCATTTTGAGAATGCATTTTTCATCTGTTTTGCTGTGAAACCTACAAATTATATTTATATACATTAAAAAAAGTATCATCGTTAAATATGCATGTCTACATCTGCATCATAAGTCTGCAGGCCAAAATTATACCATTGCAGTCGTGGGCTGCACAGAATCACTTCAAGGACCACAGATGACCTTCAGGCTGCACATTGGACATCCTTGGTTTAGATTAATACAAATATTTTATGGAATAAATTTTATGTTTGTTGGAGTTTCAGGCAGTAGTTGCATTATGCTCCCTTTAATTTTTTTTCTCTAGAGATCTTGAAGTTTCTAAATGAACATTAAAGTTAAAATTACCAAGAAGATGCAAATCAATTTATTTGTCAAGTTGCTTTTTTCAACCATTAAGGGAAAAAAAAATCCCAAGAGGAAAATATCGATCTTCTTACTAATTGCATTCACCATTAAATTACCATGTGTGTTTTCACGCAAACAATGTATCTGCAGCTGTGCCGGATGCATAGAGTGCTACCATCCATACTATCGACCCACTTGGCTGAGACCAAACAGTTAACAAGTGCTGGGATGGAAAGATTGAAGTGTAAAAAAAAAGGGGGGGGGGAATAAAATTCTCACACAAGTCTTTTATTTTTCAGATCATTGCATTTGATGAACTCCGCACAGACTTCAAAAACCCCATTGATCAGAGCAATCCCACCAGAGCGGTAAGAACCCTGCTGTTTCACTGCTTTCAGGAAGGATCAGACGCTCGTGTGCAAACAGAGGAATCCCTCCGTTTGACTTTCAACATGAACATTTTGTTTTCTACAAAGACACTGAGAGCAAAATGAGGATTTAACTCAAAAAAATGTGAAAAGCTTTAGATTTTCATTGTTACAAACGTGAAATGAAGGTCACCAAGTGTTGTGTTTTAACTAATTGCAATCATCAAGCCAGCTGTTATCATTAAGAAAAGGAACTAGGATTTTTGAATGAATTTGTTTAGATTCAGCTACATTTAATCAATGCATTAATTATCCAGTATATTTGTTCAACTTTGCTCTCAGTTCTCATTAATGAAGCGTCGAGGTGATTGCCTCTGTAGCATCCAGACAGCGTTTCCTTGAGTACTCATTTGTATGCAGATTGAAGCAATCAAACCTCTACAAAGACGTCTCTTTGGCCCAATCAGTAAAGGAGATTTGTTTCAATGAAGCTGCCTCTTGTGCAAAGAGAAACTGTGCTGCTTTCCATCATCTGCAACTGGAACAAAACTTTTCACATGCACTTCACAAAAAAGTGGTATGTCGATGTCCTTCGTTTCTGAGGGCTTTGAATAGTGAATGTTTTTAGTTTTAGAGATAAGTGATTTCTGGACTGGATTTTTTTCATTCAACCTTTATTTAGAAATCACATTGTAAATGTTTCAAGTTATCAGCTCACAATGTGCACGAATGGATGAACAGACTGATGAAGAGTATTTCCAGTTCCTCCTTTTCCCTCTGTGACAAAGAACAATAAAACCCATAAAGGCCCTGGAAGCGATGCACACTGCCCACTGCCCACTGCCCACTGCCCACTGCCTTTAGGTGCCTGTTAGAGATTGGAATAATACTCATCTTCTACCGCATCAAATCAATTTCCATAAAATTTGCTGAGTTTAAGCTAATGTTTGCTAATGTCAGTTATCTGTGTCGGCCATTTTGACAAAAGTATTTGATCCAGCAGGGTATCCAGATATTTTAGTCTTCTTCTCAAAGACACTCCGGTGGTATTGTTACTTGAGTCTCAAATTAAACAGCATCATTATGAGTCAGAGGAGACCGCCATCCTTCGTTTAGCAAGTTAGCAGCAGCTGTGAATATCTTTTTCACAGGACAGTCAATGTTCTGGCAGCCATGTGAACCTTCATCTGAACTGAGGGAGGGATGAGGAGTGGGAGAGGAAGCTGTGAAAACAGACCGTGGGTGTGTGGAGGCACGCCAGCCACAGGAAGCGGACACTATAACTGCACCACCTGTAAAATCTATAACTATCTCTGATAAAACGTCAATATTTGCTTTTACATTTCAAGCTCCGTGTCGCTGGGATTCGTGTTAAGGCTCTGGATTGCTGTTCTGTGCTTTATGAGACAAGTTGAATATGTCAGACATGTAGCATGATCTGCCAGGATGTTCCCAGTGTCTCCCAAATCCAACAAACTGGACAAACAGAGACAAAAAACAGGCTGGGTAAATAAACAGCGATGGTTTTGGATGTTAGTTGACAGAAACGCATGTTCAGATGCTGCTGTGTACAAAACGGAGCAAAGCCGTGGACATTTGTGAGCAAGGGAGGAATTACAAAAAGTCAACATGGAGTCGTGTTCACAGGTCAAATTTGTGTTGCTGATAAATATTCAGAGTTGGACTTTTATAAAACATGATGACCTGCTGAACCAAGAATCAGCGTCCAATTATTTCCTCATTAAAGGCTTTGGAAGATAAAAAAAAAAAAAAAAAAACATCAAAAAGCTATTTTATGCAAAGTAACAACAGTATTTAGTTGATAAAAACAAAATCAACAATTTGAAATTGACAATATATTTAATTTCAAGCCATTTTATTTGCTGCAGATTTAATTTTGATGTGCATTTCTGTTGAAGAGTGGAGGGTAGAGTATCTCTTTATCACAGACATGCCTCCAAACTATAATTTATTAAAAATTCTAACTTTCTGGCATGAAAAAAACAATTAAAAAAAATATAATTACTGTAGTCAATCACAGTTGCTTTTTTAGATCAAATTGCAGAATTATGGAATCACTTTATTCCTAAAACATAAGGAATCATTCTGTAATTTGCAGTTGTAAAACAAACCTGCATCAGATTAAATCTGATGATTAGTCCTCATTTTTTGTAAAAGTGTTCATTTCTTGTGGAACGGTTGCACAAAGAGGATGGCTCCAACACCAGAGATGTCGGGTGAAACAAAGATGAAGAAAAATTATCATGGGATGTTGCAGAAGTTACTTTTCCCACTCAGCTGTGTCTACAATCTGGACCATGTACAAAAAAAGGGAAGGTTGTAAAAGGAAGCATACTGGTCGACCAAAGAAGACATCAAAGAGTCAAGATAGAAAACTTAAAGCAAAAATGTCTCAAAAACTGAAAATAAACAATAAAACAAAACAACAAAAAACTAGAGGGTGGAAGCTGGAGTCAGCGTGAGCAAACTGTAAGAAATCGTCTAAAAGAAATTAGATTTACAGACAGAAAGATCAAACAAAAGTTAATCGTTAATGATCTGGGCCTGTATGTCACACAATCATTGAACTTTCAATAAATGCCAAAGCCGACATTAAAACTGGACATTTTTTTTATGAAAACTTTCTTTCAAGAAAGACATAACGTCAAGAACATGGCTTTCAGATGGTGCTGGTCTTAATCCTGTTAAATGTCTCAGGTGGAAATGGAAGAAAACAGTCACTGACGAGGCTCCAACCTGCAGAGCTGATCTGGGAACAGCAATAAGAGACAGCTGGAACCAGAATGATTGAAGTACTGATAGGGCAGGTTTTTTTTTTTTTTTTCTTGAATTGAGTGATTCCATAATTTTTGCCATGAGTTGTATTTTACCTGGTCTGAACAGCTTCTTGAACAGCCTCTATTAGAGAAACAGTATTTACATCCGACGAGCTAATGGCTAGTCTGAGCAGGACCAAGACCAAAGTGCTGTAAAAAAATCTCCTTCAGTGACCAAAAATCCCAAGTTTGTGCAAAAACTTTTTAAACTTTTACACTACCATCAGTTTTGCAATGCACTATTATTAAAATGAAATGTTAAAGGTTTTTTGCATCATAAAACCAACCAGCAGCAGCTAGCTGTAGCACTTCCAGGACATCTATGCCTGCAGAAATATCTAAATCTTTCTGGCAATATAATCAAGAAATTCAAAGTAAAATTGTAAAGTTTTAAATATTAACTTTTTTTAAATATGAACTTTTGCGCAAAATGTTGTGATTTTTTTTGAAGACTGGAATTGTTTAAGGGCTGCTCTGAAACTAATCATCAGCTTATTTGTATGTGTTTATTTTTTCTTTCGGCTGCTCCTTACTTCAGGGGTCACCACAGCGGACTGACTTGCACAAAGACTTGGCAATTATATTGATGCCAGATGTCCTTCCTGACGCAACCACAGACCACTGAGCTACCACAGCCCTCTGTGTGGAGCAGAGAGCTGCTTTCTAGGGCGCCCAGAGGAGCAGATGATGGGGGTCAAGGTCCTTGCTCAAGGGTCCAGAATGGAGCAAATGAGGGTGGAGGCAGTTGTGGGTGTTTCACCTTTCCCACCCACACTTTTACATTGTCGGTCCAGGGAGTTGAACCGACGACTTTCTGATTATTGGCTCACCTTCTCTAACTTCTGTGCCACCACTCATCCCTCGCTAATGATGCTTATAATTTGGCTGGTCTGACTGGTCCTATTTTAAAGCAGATTTAAAGCAGGGAGTTTTTCTTTTCCGCTGTTGCCATTGTGCTTGCTCAGGATGTGAGAATGTGACGAAGTGATGATTCAACATGTTTGCTGGCTTCCTTAGACAGAGAACTTTACCAACTGGCTTTTCTTTAATTTGAAATTGTGCACAAACTTTGATTGTTGCTGCTATAACATTTCATTTTAATAATAGTGCATTGCGAAACTGATGGTAGTGTCAACATTTTAATAGTTCTGTGCACAAACTGTCAAAATTACATTTTGTTGTGCTTCAGTGCAAAGACAATAAAGGTTGATTCTGATTCTACATGTATGTGAATGTTTCAGTGCCCTGAGACAACTTCTGTTGTGATTTGGCCCTATATAAAGAAACAGAATTGAATTGAATTTTAATTTTAAAACAATTTCAGCCTTCAAAACATTACAGCAGTAGTTTGTGCACATGCTATTTTAATCATCTTTACATAACTACCAGTTTTATTTGTTATTTGGTCAAATATTGCAAAATACCAGCCAGGCTAGGAGTGCTACAGCTAACTGTTGTTGTTTAACTTTGTGAATAATCATAGGATTCCATGCATTACATAGTGTAATGTGAAACTGATGGTGATACAAAGCTTTAAAACATTGTTTACATAAACTCCTATAACATTTCTGAGATTGGAGTTGATTTCAAAACGGCAGCGATCCTCTTTGGTCTCAGCTGCGTTGGAACCAGTCCACTCTGTTTCTCCAAACTTTATTCAAAACAAGATATGACTCAGAAAGCCATTTCAAAGGAACTAAAGCATTCTTTTAGATTAAAAATGAAAGTGTCGTAACCTTTATCATCGAACAGTAATTTAGATTTTCAGTCCCAATATGGAACCCTTCATCTTGTCATTTTTGCTCTTTTATTGAACGCTGAAATGTCTCTACTGCTTTTGATGGATGTCCTCTGTTACGTTTCTTTATTGGAGTTGTTCAAATTAACCTGCGAGCCCTGACACAAATAAGGGCACCTCGGGGAAGCTGCTGGCCGTAAAATCTGAGCAGCACAGCAATTTACAGGTTTAATAACACGCCCAAGCCTCTACAGGCATGGCAGGTCAAGCACTGGGGCTTTTTACAAGCTGAAGCCCGGTGGTGTGCAGGGATGTGAGGCATGAAGCTGGAAAAAGAGGCAAAAAGTACACACTGATGAGATAAAAAGTCAGGGTAAAATTTACCCCCAGCTCAGAGGGAGATTTCCAATTTATAAACAAAGAAAACAAATAATTGATCCATATGCTCTATACTGGAATAAATGTATTATAGTTTCCCTGCTCTCATAACCTGCTGATGGAATCCAGCCATCTGTGTCAATGAGCTCGAGTAAAACATCTATTTTCTCTTGCCCGCCTGTCAATGGACAATTAAAACGTCAACGTTACAACAAGCACCGTCTGCTGACTAATCAATGCCGTTTAAGATGGATGTTTTCATCTCAGAGCTCATAATTAAGCCCTCTGTCATCTTTCACAGCACAGTTGTTTGTTCTTTTAAACGGAGCAGCTGGGATTTGTGTCGAAGAATGCAATCAATCTGGGCTTCCTAATCCCGTTTTTAAAAATCTGTCAGGTTGAAGATCTGTGGCAGAAACACCACGGCAGGCATTTACATCCCTCACAAACGTATTACTTCAGGAGTATTTATGTGATATATTACTGGTTCGTTTCAGTCATAACATTGTATAAAGTATAAAGTGACAGGTCATTCATTTTGAAGTGGGGAAAATTAATCAGTAAACAATATCGTACCTGTAGTAGATAGTTCTTTGATCAGACTCAGTTTAAAGAAAAGGAGTCCAGCTAGTTTAAATGCTGAGTGCAGGGTGGACTGGTGCCATTTTTAAACAGCTTTAATATCCAAAGGTTCAGAGAGGTTTATGTAACCATTATTTACACAGCCATCAATTTCTCATGACATGGTTATTTCGTTGTGTGGTTAATTGTACGCACATGGCCATGGCAGCACTGCAACACTGAGGGTTCTGATGGTTTTTTTTTATTTGATATGATCTTTATTTTACCAGGTGAAATGTTTGAGAACCAGTTCTCATTTACAAACTGGACTTGACTTCTTAATAACTCTGCTGGAAGATCTATGTAATGTAAACATTATGGTGATGTAAAGAATTATAAAACATTGTTTTCATTTGTTATAAATTATGAAGATCTGAGTTATTTTAAGTCTGCAAAACTTATTTTGGAGGTGGGTCCGGACTAGCCATTAGCTCATCATTATGGTCTGAGCAGACCCTGTTCCAAAGCTTCAAAGTGGAATTTGTTGTCTTGAACCAACTCCAATTTTATCTTTATATATATATATATATATATATATATATATATATATAATTCATGCAAATACTATTAATTAAAACCTATTCACCTGCAGAAACAGGAAGTTCTAAAGCTAGCTGCTGCTGCCACTAGTTGTACTTGTAAATATCTAAATTCTATTTTAATATTTCTGTACTGTGAAAGTCACAGGTGTGTGTACAGGTTTATAAAAATAACAGTAGCACATTTTTCAGATTAGAACTGTTTTAAAACAGAAGCTAGCCACTTCTGCATTCAGACTAGCCATTAGTCGTTTTAAACTTGAACTCATATTTCTCCAAACTGAGGCTGTTTAAAATTCTATCTACAACAGGTAAGATATTAATGTTTTATTTCATTTCTACAGACCTCCACTTTAAAATAGTTGAAGTATCTAAGTGTCTTCATGATCAGTTCATTCCTTCAATTCAAAGTAATTTTTTGCACAAACTGCGTGGTGGTGCAGTAGATCAGTCCTGTTGCTTGGAAGCAAGAAGGTCACAGGTTCGACTTCCAGCTGGGACTTTTCTTTATGGAGCTCATGCTCTCTCCGTGTATGCATTGGTTTCCTTTGTGTATTCCACTTTCCTCCCACGATCTAAAACCATGCATGCTTGGTTAACTAGCTATACTAAACTGTCTCTAGCAGAGTGAGTGAAAATGTTTTTTCATTTCTATGTGGTGTGGATTGACGATCTGTGGGTGTGTCCTGCATTTTGCCCAGTGATCCCTGGAGAAAGGCTCCAGCTCAAACTGGTTAAGACAAGGAGCATGCTTTATTCCAGCTTGCACAACAAAACATATGCAGAATGTTGACCAGACTTTTCTTTCTGTCCACTCCCCAGAGAGAGAGGATTCTGAACATCGAGCGGATCTGCAACCTGCTTCGCAGAGTGAGTAATAGATGGTTTTCACCTTCTGGTGGCAGATGACTAAAGCAGAGGGGCTTCAGACAGACATGACCATTTGTCTCCCGAACTATTGTGAGAGGACTGTGACGCACACGTTCACATGTTCCCCACAGCCCACCATTTCAGAGCTTCAGACATGCACTGACGGAGATGCCATCAAGGGTTTAACCTTGTTTGTTTCTTTTATTGTATTACTGTATTTCAAGACTTTTAAGGGGAAGAAAAAATATGTGTCTCTGAAAGCTTGAAATGCTCTTGATGCATTTTAGAAATACAGTGGAAGATGATCAATTAGAGCAAGTACCTAAAATAGGCAGGAGATCAATAAATAAATAATACCTAAAGCAGCAAATCAGGACAAATACCCCATGTAATGTATTTATGTGGTAAATGCAGGGATCAAACTGGGAATAACAATAAATGTTTAATTGGTTTTCTTCACAGTTAAAATATGGAAATAAAACCTTTTAAAAATGATATTGACCTGCATGAAGCTTGTAAACTGATTGATAGATCATATCAGAACGTGCCTCCATAAAAATACGGTGCAGGGCCGTAAGTGTCCCTGCTATAAAACCAGTATGTCACCATATATTGTAACTGTGGAAGGAGCAGCTTGATGCACAGTTTTCAATATTGTTGCCGACATGAAAATGTGAAGTCCAATTACCTGTGAGGTGCAGGAGAAGATGTGCTTGACAACATAAATTTCAGTTTCGATCTGGAATCAGGCAGCAATGACTTTTTTTTAGCTTCATCAAAAGCGACATGACACTGTGTTCACACAGGTCCACTCTGCTGGGCCCAACTTAGGCCCAAACAAATCAGTAATGGTATACCTGTAAAGAAATATTCAATTCATACAAATACTGTAGCACAGCTTGCTGCACAATAACAATTGCCATTTTGTTTTTATTTTATTTTATTGTATTTAAAAAAGTCAGGACTGAGTTCATCCATCCATCCATTTTCTTTACCCGCTTATTCCATTTTGGGTCACGGGGGTCGCTGGTGCCCATGTCCAGCAATCACTGTGCGAGGGGCGGGGTACACCCTGGACGGGTCGCAAGTCCATCACAGGGCCACATAGAGACAAACGAGACAAACAAACATTCACTCTCTTACTCACACCTAGGGACAATTTAGAGTTACCAATCAGCCTAACATGCATGTTTTTGGACTGTGGGAGGAAACCGGAGTACCCGGAGAAAACCCACGCATGTACGGAGAGAACATGCAAACTCCACCCAGAAAGGCCCCTGGACCGGGGTTTGAACCAAGGACCTGCTCGCTGAGAGGCAGCAGCTCTACCAGTTGCGCCACCATGCTGTCCCCAGGACTGAGTTATTATTTCCAATTTTGCACTCACACTCTTAACATCCTTCTGGTTGCTGTTTAGATGAGTTTGTCTTAGCTGGTCGACTGTAGAGCAGTGGGCAGACGACGTAGAACTGGAAAGTTGCAAGTTTAATGCCCTTCTTTGCCAGTTCACAAACGTGCCTGTTAGGCTGCTTTCATGCCCTCCCTGAAAAAGAGATCTGTGATCTCAATGGGATTAACCTGCTTAAGCAAAGGTTAATAAATACAATATTAATAATAATATAAAATATCCGTATGTCACGGTATCCTTGAGCAAGAATCACTTAAATGACTTGAATACACTTGGGGGTATATAACTTATTACAAAAGCAGAAACAAATTTTGTCATATATGGGCACATACAATAACAATGCATAGTACTTTCAATATTTTTTATTGATTTCTCGTCTTCTTAATACTTTTACTGTGCTACATATGTGCTATGGTAGGAAGTAGTATAGTAGCTGGATTTTAAACTTTGCCCCCACGTGTCACTAAATCACATACATTTTAAAAGATGCCAATTTTCAAACAAAGTTAAGTCAGGTCCTCTGGATTGTTTCTTTTTTTGTTGTTGAAACGTTTCTTCTTTCATCCAAAGGACGTGGAGCCACAACAAACTCAGTCTTATAAGCAGCACACTCACAGTGGACCAACCAGTTTGATAGTGATAAGATGGTTTCTGGAGTCCGCCCTCTCCCCCGTCGACTCATCTGAGGCAGCTTTTAGGACTTCATCAGTCCTTTGATGTTTTGAACCACTTTGGCTATGGCTGCCTCAGATGAGTTGACGGGGGAGAGGGCGGACTCCAGAAACCATCTTCTCACCACCACACCTGTTGGCCCACTATATGAGTGTGATGCTTATAAGACTGAGTTTGTTGTGGCTCCTCGGACTGATGAAGTCCTTTGGATGAAAGACGAAACATTTCAACAACAAAAAAAATGTCCAGAGGACCTGATTCAGCTTTGTTAGATTTTTTTTTTACCTGGATTATTGAGCATGAACTTGGATGATAAGTCAGTTTTAGTTTAAGAATCTTCACGTCTCTGTTCAAGTTCAAGGTTCTTTATTGTCATTTCCATCACATGTGGTACATGAGGTGGAACGAAATTATGTACACAGGGTCACAGTTACATCCAACAATAGCACCAGGAGAGCTGTCTATTTTGCCTCTGAACTTACATTAATTATATGTAAAATAATATCTCACTGAGCTGTGCCTGTTGTTGGCTAGCTGCTAAGCAACATCCAAGAGTCTCCAAAATGTCTTAAAATGTTTCCTTACAGAGTCTCACAGTCTTATTGCTTGAATTTTAAACTTGTCCAAAAATCTTGTACAACAAATTTCCTCTCAAAATATTTGAATAGTTCTTATGAGCTTCTTACTTTAGCTTCTGTAATTCTGGAAAGTTACAGATGTGTTTTTTTTAATTGAAAGCGAGCTCTCCTAGTGACAAAAAACTTCAGAGGCTACAGCCCCAAAGATTCACATATACAGCATGAGATTTATTCAAAAACTGGTCCAAATCTGTCTAAATTCACTTCAAAAGTGTATTCTACGAGATTAAATCAGAAATGTGAGGGCAGCTGCCATGGTCGGTATAAAACGAGTTGAGGTGGATAACAAAATATTGTGCACAGCCTAAAATACAAAAAGCCGTGCACACAAAAATAGGTTGTAATTTTAAAGGCTGTAGGCTGGTAGACTGAGCTTCATGTGTCTAGAAGGAAGTTAGCAACTTGAAAAACTTGTTAAAGCACAACATCTTTGTGCAGATGGTTAGATAATTCCTGTAAGTGTATGAGAACCCGTCTACACACACAAGAAGCTGTTATGGCACTTCTACCAGCAGCTGGTCATGAGTAGCATTAACACCTTCTAGACGAAGGTGCTTTTGTTTCCCACACTTTACTTCCATCTCATTAAGCACAAAACATGTTCTCCAAGGAGCTGTTGCTGTGAAACAACATCAGCTTGTTTTACATGAAATATATCAAATATACATGTAATAGAGTCACTGTGTCTGTTCTGATTAGTTGGTGGTACCAGAGTACTCCATACACGGGCTCTTCTGCTTGATGTTCATGTGTGCCGGAGAATGGGTCACTCTTGGCCTAAATATCCCACTGCTCTTCTACCATCTGTGGAGGTAAGGTCCCATAACAGATGTCTGATTCACGTGTTGGGCTGATGGGTGCGTGAGCCAAATTTCTTGTCTTTTTTTTAGGTTTTTTCATCGGCCAGCTGATGGATCAGAGGTTATGTATGATCCTGTCAGCGTGATGAATGCAGACATCCTCAACTACTGTCAGAAGGAGTCCTGGTGTAAACTGGGCTTTTATTTGCTCTCTTTCTTCTATTACCTGTACAGGTGCGTAGTTGTCCCAGTAGACTTTTGTTCTTAAGCCCCCTTGACACTGGAAGACAATCCTACTAAAGTGCAACATAAATAATCATCCAGAGCATAGATGGTCCTTGCAGAGTCTTGAAGAGATTTTCAGGTGCGAATCAGGAATAAAATGAGGGATCCTTTACAGGTGGTGAAGTGTGATAGGTCCACGATGGTTTTGATCATGCACAGAACTTCTTTAGGAAAGTTGAGATGGTTTATGATCATGGTGGTGAATGGAAGTTGGTAACTGTGGTGGCAGCGCATCCATAAAGTGGAGCCCATGTCACGTAAGGCTTAAAGGCCCTGCATAGTCCCTTTGAAGCTGAGAAATTGTCTCTCATTGGTGTAGTTGCGTGCCAAAAATTGCATCATTTTGTTGTCGGAGTAGCTTCATCTGCCCCTTCTCGACAAGGCCCAGACCAGACTTTTTTGCACAGCAGTATGTGCAAAGTATTGTGTGATTGGTCAGAAGTTTGTTGGCATGCTTGTTTATGAGGAAAAGTGCTCAGACAGCAACACTATCATTTCGCTTCAACTAGTCCGATTATGGGGTGCCATTTGTAACGTTACACAGTCAAAAATTAACAAAATTTTGTTTTCAAAGTCATATTTTCACCATGATTCATACATTTATAAATGTCATAGTTCACTAACTAAATACTTAATTTACAAACTAAATATTTAGTTTACAAATTAAATGCTTAACTTGTAAGTTAAATATTTAGTTAGCAAGCTAAATATTTAGCTCCACACTAAATATTTAGTTTAAAAACTAAATGTTTATGTCAAAGCTAAATCCAACAATTTTCAGTCACGTCATCTGGACAGTTTCTTTTTTTTTGTGTGTGCTGAAATGTTTCACCTTCCATCCAGAAGGCTTCATCAGTCAAGGAAACACACAACACAAAACTGATTCTTCCCTCAACAGCTTACTCCAAAGTGGAACAAACCAGTTATGTTGGTGCTAAGATGGTCTCTTTGGCACGCCCCCTCCTCCGGTGCCAGCCCTCTTCCTCGTCGACATTCATATCAAACTGGTTCAAAAACAACAAAGTTGAGGGAAGAATCAGTTTTGTGTTGTGTTTCCTTGACTAATAAAGTCTTCTGGATGGAAGGTGAAACGTTTCAGCAGCAAAAAAACCCCGAAACTGTCCAGATTCATTCAACCTTTATTTAGACAGGTAAATCCCACTGAGCCTCGAGGATTCATTTACAAGAGAGACCAGATGACCTGACTGAAAATTGTTGGATTGTATACGTACATTATTGAGCATGGACTTTGTTGGTCAAAGCTAAATGTTTGTTTTACAAACTAAATATTTAACTTGCAAGTTAAATATTTAGTTTGTGAACTAAACATTTAGGTGTATATTAAATATTTAATTTCCAAGCTAAATAATTATTTTTAAAACTAAACACTTAATTTCCAAACTAAACATTTAATTTCTAAGCCAAACATTTAATTCCTACATAAATATTTAATTTTCTAACTGAATATTTAGCTCGGACCTAAATATTTATTTTCCAAACTAAACATTTAATTTCCAAAATAAATATTTAATTAGCTAACAAAATATTTAAGTCAGACATAAATATTTAACTTGCAAGTTACGTATTTAGTTTGTAAACTAAATATTTAGCTTGTAAATTCAATATTTAGTTTGGAACTATGACATTTATAAATGTATGAATAACATGGTAAAAATATGACTTTGAAAAAAAACTTTTTTTTTGTCATGAAATAAACCAAAATATCGCTAAAATATCACGTGGCTGTTATCCAACTGTTCGGATGTACTATGAACTACCTTTATTGCCAAGAACTAGAAGCAGGACTAGCTGTGCTGGCCTCATGCCTGGGTGTTGACCATGGTTGTCACAAAGTCATTGAAACAACCTAGCACACCTGTGATGGTAGTGCTGATCTACTGCATCCTTTAGTGGTTTGAGATAATTGTGCCAGGGTAGAAGTATAAAATGCAGTGAGAGAGCATCTTGGGAACATGGAAAATAGCATGGAGAAACAATTTGGTGAGTGCCATGACTGTAAATTTGTTATGATTGCCTGCAGACTGAAGGTTTTCCAATTTTTCCACATTCTTGAGTCATTCTAATAGGTCATGGGGAGAGAAGCGGGATCATCACCCAATGAAAAGGAACTTTGATTAAAGTTCAGAGATGAATTTGAGCTTTTGTTGTGTTGTTGTATGAACTGTGCTCTCTTAACTTTTTGGTATTATTTTTTCTGCAGTATGGTCTACACCCTGGTCACGTTCTAAAAATGAAGTGGTCTGAAGATAAAACAGGAAGGAACTACGAGATGTGCAAAACAAATGGAGACAAACTCTTCCTCTTTCTGTGTTTCCTGGCTTTTGGCTACTGAACGTCCAATTTTGCACACATGAAAAGACCAATCTGAGTGAGTGTGAGTGTTGCCCAGGATATATTTTAGAGCTTCATCCCAGATTTGGCTGTCGGACAGCTGATAAAAATGTTCTGAGAGGTTCAGCAAATAGATGCTGGTGTTGGTGATGCCTTTGACCCATAATACGATTAAACAATATTTCTAAAGGGCTGGATTTCCCCGTGCTGCTCTTACTGATCCAGTCACAATACTCACTGTGAATCTCCAAACACTTAGGGGCTGGAAACTAGAATAAAACGTCTGTATTTTCTGCATTTGAAGCTGCTCTAAAAGCAGGATTGTGTTGGTATTCTTAAATATACTTCATCAAGCTATAAGAAATCAGGTGCTTTTGATTGTAAGCAAAGGTTTCAACTGTGATCAGTGTAAATGCAGAAGGATTGACGAGGAACCAATGAGCTGCACGGACACGTTCAGCCAGAATGGAGATGAATCTTCAGCAAATATGAAAAACAAAACATCCAACTGAATCTGTTCTCACAAAACAAAGAACATGAAACAGACACGAAACTCGAATGTTACTGTTCAAGTTTATTTCAGCAGGGTGTTTACTTTGTTTGTTTGTTCAACCTGTTTTGTGTGTTTTCGATGAGATGGGACCAAGCATCAAGAAAAAGAACATTTTATGTGATTTTTATAGAAAAAGTTACGACGCAAGCCATGATGTTTTCAATACTTAGACTTGCACGATTTAGTGCCTGATTTTACCCAAATACTTACCCTTCACAAAAGACTTTTTAATAAACAGAACAGCTTAAAATATGATTGAAACAGTAAGAAAAAACTTAAAGGAACAATTCAAACATCTTGTAAAATGGTTTCAACAAAAACATTACAAACAGTTAATGCTTTGCCTGTTTTAGATGGCTTTTAAATGACCTACATATGAAAAAAAGAAAGAGTTTAAATATAACAAGACAAACAAGCTAATGGCTAATCTGAATGCAGTTGAGATAAAAGTGGATCGCTGCCGTCTTAAAACAACTCCAGTCTTCATTATTTCACAGCGCTTTATGCAGATAGCATTTTATAAAACCTTAACACCACAATATACTGTAATGTTTGGTTTATTGAGCGCACCTGAATATAAGCCACACCCACTAACTTCAAAAATAAAAATAAAATGTCCATATATACGCCACACTTCATAAGCCAGAGGTGTTCACGATGCAACATGAGATATTTACACAGAAATATTTTTTCAACCTTTAATTAAATACATGTGCAGCACAGTTCATAGAGCTGTTGCCGCTCAGCGAGAAGGTTGCTGGTTCTAATCCCGGCCAAGGACCTTTCTGGGTGGAGTTTGCATGTTCTCTCTGTGCATACGTGGGTTTTCTCCAGGTACTCCGGTTTCCTCCCACAGACCAAAAACATGCATGTTAGACTGATTGGTAACTCTAAATTGTCTCTAGGTGTGAGTGAGAAAGTGAATGGTTGTTTGTCTTGTTTGGCTCTGTATGTCCCTGTGATGGACTGGAGACCTGTCCAGGGTGTCCCCCTCCTCTCACACAGTGACTGCTGGACATGGGCACCAGTGACCCACATGACCCAAAAAGGAAGAAGCGGGTAAAGATAATGGAAAAGTCATTGATTGTTATCTTCATCTTCCTCCTGCACACTAAAACCACTACAGTCGTCTTTTTCAGTGTCAGAATTGAACAGCCTCATAATTACTTGGTCACACACATCCTCAGTCTCTCTCTCGTCGTCGCTCTCAACGTCACTTTTGTCTTGAGGCAAATTTGCCCTTGATCTTGTGCTGTCCTCTTCATCATGCAGCAGTTCAGCCTTTTGATACCCGTTGGTGATAGTACATTATTTGACACAGTTCCACGTTGTCAAGTTCCACTGGCAGACACGAGCAAAAGTTGCTCTTCGCATGTGGCAAAATGCGCAAAATGACTGATCTGAAGAATTTAGTATGAGTGCGTTTGATTTAATTTGAGCAGTTTCATTGGTCTGATGTGACGAGGCTAAATGTTTTGGAGGCACGAAGCTCGTTAGCCTGTAAAAATCCATAAATTAGTCGCATTGTTGTTTAAGCTGCAGTGTTCAAAGTGTGTGAAAAAAGTAGCAGCTTATAGTCCAGAAATTATGGTAATTCTTATTTTATGGTTATCCTGACTGTAGTTTGATGATATACCTGCCAGCTGCACATGTAGTGGTACAGCTAGCTGCTGCTGCCATTTGCACTTGCAAATAAACACAGAATTTCATGTCAGTAATCATTGAATACTAAACCAGTGGTGTAAAAATTATGAACAAAGTTAGCATGAAATGCTATAATGTTCTGGAGACTGGAGTTGTTTTAAAACATCGGCAATTCACTTTGGTGTTGGTCCCACTCAGACAAACCGTTAGCTTATTAATCCCATCAGAATTCAAATCTATTTCTCCAAACTGAGGTCATCCAAAAAGGCATCTACAACAGGTAAGATATTAACTGTTCACATTCCCTGAAAACTTCAGAATAACTGAATTATTCTTTTAAGGTGATGTTTTGAAGTAAAGATCTTTGAAAACACCAGAGGCTGGGGCAGGAGTTTTACTTGAATCTGCTTGATATTAGTGTGTAGCTCCAACCCCTCTGACCCCTGAATGTGAACGCGGCCGCTCGAGTTTCTCTGTTCATTAAGATGAAGACAAAATAAGACACAAATCAAAAGGTTTAGTTTTCATACTTGTGTGCACGTTTTGCTGTGCGACCAGGTTGATGATCCTAAGTCTGCGACGTGCGTTCAACACGGGGACGTCTGTAGCTGTAAAGACATAATAAAGGCTTCATCGTGCTTTTCAAACGAGCCTCAAGCTCACATAGAAATGCCAAACGTTTCTAGCTCGAAAAGCCAAATTTACAAAGCAATGTCAGGCCTTTAAATTCATTTCCTGTGGCATATTTCAAGCTTCGAAACAACGTTTTACTTTTCCTCTGTTGTATTTTTAGTGCAAAGAGCGCCTTATTTCTAGTTCTGGTGAAGTTTACTCTTACTCAACTGCATCTTTAGTCATTTTAGCACAGCAACTTTGAAACTTTTCGCTGATCTGAGGTGAAATAGTGATTTTTATGTACTAAAAGCAATCAACAACCGCAAAATAGCAATGTAATATGATTCATGAGACGTATCATCTGTGTTATATCGTGTTTCTAATACAAGTGAGTGGGGGCTCAGTGTCAAACGACACGTTACTGACTCGGTGACGATGGTTGAATTATTAAGAAAGTGTAAATTGTAGTTAAGCCATCACAGTACTGCTGTAATCACACTGTTTCAGATGGAAACCAGAGAAGACTTTCTATCTTTGACGACACATATTTACAAGTTTCATCTATCTGTAGGTCGGACGGGTCAAATGTGTGAATTCAGGAGGGAAAAAACCACCGTAACTGTTTTTGTAGGGTATGTGACGATAACTGAAGGTGATAAAGAGAAGAAGAAAAAACATTATTGCCCACTGCAGCCTAAGAAAGTAGCTTGGATTATTTTATTTTATTTAATAATTTACAACAAAACCTAAAAAAAACCACAAACAAAATACAAAACACTATAAATATCAACTGTGTTGCTGCCCCATGATTTATACAAATTACCTGTAGAAAGGGTCATGCTGATTATTTACATTGTATCAATTATAATTCATTGAAGAATCAGTGCGTTTTAGCAATATGTAGATATATATTTATAAATAAAATACCAATAATAAAGGAACAGCAATAAACTTAATCAGTGGTAGTTTCACATTGCGCAAAAATTTTTAGGTTGTGCCAAACTGCATAGCAAATGTCAAACAGTAGTTTTATCAATGAAATAAACAGATTAAAATCAAGTTTTATGCATTTTATAGATTTCTAAATCTGAAGTTTACAAAATCCCAGAATTGCTGTTTTAAATATACTGCAGCTGAAAAAGTTTCCATAAAACAGCTGAGTCTTGTTGATCACTGATAGCTCAGATATTTCAAAGTTGGGTTCTGTGGAGAATTTATGAACCAGTTATATCTTACCTGTTGTAGATGGCTTTTTGAAGAACCTCAATGTGAAAAACCATTTTAAAGTGACTGAACCGACGAGTTTTAATGGCTTGTTTTAAGGCAGCTCATTAACGTAAAAATGGATGAAGGATGGATGGGAAGGATGGATCCATCGCTTCTTGATGTTCAAAATTGAAGCCATCAGGATCCGATTAATGACCGTTACTTGTTGCCATATGTTCGAATATTATTTAAAGGGCCCCACTTTCTCTCGTTGTTTAGAACTAAAGCTAACAAGAACCAGTTTGTGGGAGCTGCCATGTTGTATTTTTAGAACCAGAATCTGTGCAGTCAGGATGTTGGCCTGTAAAATCTGTCTACTCCCTCATTATTTAGGGCACCCCATAGCTACAGCTAAACTTATTAAGAAAACATTTCAGATATATAGCAGCAATGTAAGAGCTATATGAACTAATAATACTTAACATCTGGAAAAAATAACCCAAAGAATGTTTGTTAATCCCATTCATTTGGCAGCACGATGGCTCAGTGGTTAGCACTGTTGCCTCACAGCAAGAAGGTCTTGGGTTCAATCCCCGGTTGGACCTAGGGTCTTTCTGTTTGGTGTTTGCATGCTCTTCTATTGCTAGCGTGGGTTTTCTCTGGGTACTCCAGTTTCCTCCCACAGACTAAAAACATGGATGTTAGGCTGCCTTCAGGCCCAGGCCTCCCTTCAAAAGAGATCTGGGATCTCAGTGGGATCTACCTGGTTAAATAAAGGTTAATAAATTTACATAGTCTAAAATTTGTAGAGTATGTCCAGCTCTCAGGGGACTCGCCATTTTAACTTCAACTTCCACATTACAGCCTTGTGTCTAGTTAGTGATCCCTCACCTATTGCGGGGGTTACATTCCGGAGACCCACGGGATAGGTGAAAATCCGCAAAGTAGCGGCGTTATATTTATTTTATTATTTATATATTTTAAAAAGCTTTATAAACCCTTCTCACGCTCCTACAAACCTTCACCACTCTTACGTTTACCCTTAGCGTGCAGCGTAGCACTGAAAACTTTAGTATACGCCCACTTGCTGTGTAG